GACGAAAAAGATTCCCATAAAACTGCCTTTTCAACCCCATATGGACATTATGAATTTGACAGAATGCCATTTGGTTTAAAAAATGGCCTTAGTACTTTTCAAAGACTGATGATCATTACCTTAGGTTCATTAATCGAAAATGACCTCTTTGTGTATCTAGACGACATAGTATTATATGCAGAAACTTTAGAAGAACACGAAATAAAATTCAACAAATTAATTGACCGACTTAGATACGCAAACCTACACCCGCAACCAGACAAATGCGAATTTCTTAAAACAGATGTTGCATATTTAGTTCATATAATTGATAAAGAAGGAGTTAGGCTAGATCCAAAAAAATAGAAACAGTACAAAAATTTCCAACACCAAAAAATGAAAAGAATATAAAACAATTTTTAGGCCTAGCCGGATATTATAGAAGATTTTTAACGGATTTTCAAAAATTTCAACACCGTTAACACAACTACTTAAAAAAGATATCCCCTTTCTATGGACTGAAAAACAACAAAATGCTTTTGACAATTTAAAAGAAAAACTATGTGAAGAACCCCTTTTGCAAAGACCAGATTTTACAAAACCGTTTGTCCTTACAACAGTTGCATCAGGATATGCCATTGGAGGCATACTTTCTCAAGGTAAAATTGGACAAGATAAACCAATTGCATACACATCCCGTACCTTAAACGATAATGAAAGAAAATTCGATACATACGAAAAAGAAGCACTAGCCATAGTTTATTGTGTACAACATTTTAGACCGTATCTTTTCGGTAGAAAATTTACATTAGTCACAAATCATAAACCATTAGTATGGTTTCAAAATTCAAAAGATCCCTTGCTCAAGAGTAACAAGATGGAGATTAAAATTAGCTGAATACGATTTCGATGTAATACATAAGGCAGGTAAAATGAATGTAAATGCTGACGCTGTATCTCGTAACCCTGTTGATAATATTGAAAACATTAATAAAATTAATTACACATATGAAAATTATTACAAATATACAGAATCTGATGAAGAAGACTATAGTGAAGTAGACTATAGTGAAGAAGAATCTAGTGAAGAAGAATCCAGTGAAGAAGAATCTAATGAAAAAGAATCCAATAATGAAGAAAAATCTGATAATGAAGAATTTAGTGAAGAAGAATCCAATAATGAAGAATCAAGTATGAAATCATATAAATTTCAACAAATTCAAGAAAAACAATTCGATGAAGAAGAATCCATCGACAAAAAATCAAATTCAGTAAAATCTACAAGAAAAAGAAGAAATAAACAAGAAGAAAAGAAAATAAACAAGTAGGGTGTCCTTTATGTTCATTTCATGAACATTTTGCTTCCTCATTATATGATGCAAAAAATTTGCTTCCTCATGGAGGAAGCATTAACACTGAAATTAATATACATAAAAAAATTGTGTTTGTTTAAATTCAAGTTTAAACATAAAATTATTGTATTCCTTGCATTATAATAAATCGATTGGTATGTATGATATATATTTAAATTATTATTATTTATATTAAAAGAGTTAATGAAAGTTTAAAAATAAAAATTTTCCATTTTTGCTTAAAAATTTTTTGTTTATTTAAATTTAAGTTTAAATATAATGAATTCTATATAATTCTATATATATTTAGCTTAAAATAAAAAAAAAATTAACAATATATTTTTGGCAATAATTTTTTCTAGCCAAAAAAAATAATTTAATAATTATTAAAAAAATTTCTCCACGATGATGAAAGGATGATGGATGTGGTGGGTATGGTTGACTCATCGGGTATGATGTTTGTGTTGGGTACGGTATTTGTGTTGGAAACGGGGTTTGTGTTGAGTACGGTGTTTGTGCTGAGTACGGTGTTTGTGCTGGATATTGTGATTGGGCTAGAAATTGTGTTTGTGAAGGATACGGTGTTTCTGTTGGGTATTGTGATAGTTCTGCGTACGGTGTTTGTAAAGGGAATTGTCTTTTTGTTGGGTACCGCCTTGGGTATGGTGTTTGTGTTGAGTACGATGTATGTGGTATATATGGTAAATGTGCTGGGTATGAGGGGTGTGATGGATATGAATTTCTTGCGTTTCGCACATTTCGGTTGAACTTCCAATATTCACCTCGACTAGTTCGAAATTTTTGTCGTTGAAATTCTCTAAAAATAAATATTAATTATTAATTCATTACATAATTCAATCCCTAAAACAGTGTCTTAAAAATTAATTATTAATAATTAATTTTTAATTTAATAATAAAAATAATTTATTTTTCGAAAAATTTTAGAATGTATGAAAAACAAATAAATTTCTGTAAATGCGGACAAATTCCCTATTTCTCACAAATTACGTAAGTTTCTCCCTTTAAAAGGTAATATTGGCGGGGGTTTTTTTTCAATGTGTTATTTACATTCCCAAGATTAATTTTATGCAGCAGAAAAAATTTAAATAATCTTTAAACGCATGAAACTGACTGTCCCCATTTACACCACCTGACCCTATAGAAAATTCTTAAAAAATTAATAAATAAATAATTAAAAAATTTAACTTAAAAAATGTTCATTTTCAGCAAATTTAATATAATAATAAAATATTTTAAAAAATCTTCAATTTAATATAATAATAATCAAATATTTGAAAAAATTTGAAATTTTTAAAAATAAATAAACATATTTTTTTCGTAAAAAAAATTATTTTTAAAAATATTTACCTCCTATATTCTTTTTCCTTCAACCTTCGTTTTAAATTTCTTTCAGTGTGCTTTCCTTTTATTTTATTGTCTATTTTTTGTATATTTTGAATTAAATTTTCATCTTGTTCTTTTTTTCTTCGTTAGTTTTTCTTTCATTTTCTTTTTTATTTTCTTTTTCTTTTACATTTTCTTTTTCATTTTCTTTTTTATTTTTATTTTCATTTACTTCTTCAGTTTTCTTTTCATTTTCATTAATAAAAAAGTTCTTTATAAAGCTAAACATTTTTTAATTTTTTCTTTTAATAATTTAAAGAGCTGAATAAATTTTCAATTTTAACTATTTGGTTAAATGCGAACGAAGTGAATATTTTTTTTTTTGATCTTCTTTTGTTATATATATCTTTATTTAAATAAATTATTTTATCATTGCAAATTTATAAAATATAAATTAGAATTTTTAAACCTTTTTAAAAAAAACTTGGAAAAGAATCTGAAAAAGTTTTAATAGATGAAAAATAAAATAACATAGAAATTCCAAAAAATTAAAAGAAGAAAATAATACGTATACTAATATAGATAAATTTTAAAAAATTTTATATTAATTATTATTATTAAATGAATAAATTATCGTTAATGAATTATTATTATTATTTTTAAAAAACTAAAAAAAGCACTTGAAAAATTTAAGATTTATAAAAAATAAAATGAAAATTTCCAAAAAAATAAAATATGAAAAAAAAATTTTTACAAAAAATAAAAATGAAGTTGAAATAAAAAAATAATACGTATAGTGTAGATGAATTTTAAATTTTATTTATCATTATTTAAAAGTTTAATTTAACAAATTAATATCTTTTAAAATATCTTTTAAACAATTTTCTTTTAACAATAATTATTATAATTATAGTAATAATAATAATAATTATTATTATTCCTATTTTAAAAAAATCATGCTAAAGCGTTATGCGTTACGTGCGTAACGAATATTAATTAATTAATAAATTAAAATTAGTCGAATATAATGTCAACATAAAACATCATTATACTACTGTTTTATTAATATAAATTAATTTAATGATTGAAAAATAAAAATAAGCGCACGAAGGTCTCGTACAATAAAAAAGGCTATCTAGCGGTCAAAGATGTCAGGGAAATTTGTTAATTATGAAAAATTAAGAAAATGTCAGAAAATTTAATTAAGTCAGGGAAATTTTAAAAAATTTGCCCAAAAAAAATGTTTATGAAGTTTTTAATTTTTTTAGTGCAAGAAAAAATTTATATTGTTAATAAATAAAAAAAATTTTATTATATTAAAAATACTTTAATATTTGATACTTTTCATTATTTTAATATTAAATGTTTATTAAAGAATATTGAAGAAAATTTGAAAAAGGTTAGGAAAAAGTCAGGTAATTTCAAAGAAAATTCATTAAATTTTTTTATACTTGCTGTATACCCTGTTAAATATAAAATGAAAATGTATTTTTAAATATTCATAAATAATTTTTTTATATTGAACTAACCTTCACAATCCTCTTTTTTATTTTCATTAATTTCCTTTTCTGAAATGAATTTTTTTAAATACTATAAATTTTTTTATATTTATAAAATAAATAATTATTATATTTTTCATTATATTATTATATTATTTCTATTATATTTTCATTTAATTATAATTATTAAATAATCAAAAACTTTACCACTTTTAAATTTTTTTTTCCCTAATTCTTTTAAATCTTCCAATTTTCTTTCTGCAAAATTATAACATTTAGAACTAGAATCATTAATATTAGGTTTAAAATGTTTTTACTATTATTTTTTTTATTTATACTTTTATTATTATTATTATCATTATCCTTCTGTTTAATCAAAAAACGGCAATGCGAAAATGACTTTAGAGGTAAATTCGTCAACCTGACCGCAAAATATTTTACACCAGAGGTGTCATTTTGACAATGCTACTAGAATTTTTTGTTTAATCAAAAAACGGCAATGCGAAAATGACTTTAGGGGTACATTCGCCAACTTGACCGCAAAATATTTTGCACCAGGTGTCATTTTAACAATGCTACTAGAATTTTTTTGTTTAATCAAAAAACGGCAATGCTAAAATGACTTTAGAGGTAAATTCGCCAACCTGACCGCAAAATATTTTGCACCAGGTGTCATTTTAACAATGCTACTAGAATTTTTTTGTTTAATCAAAAAAACGGCAATGTGAAAATGACTTTAGAGGTAAATTTGTCAACCTGACAGCAAAATATTTTACATCAGGTGTCATTTTGACAATTGATATGAGGATTTTTATTTATTAAAAAAAACTTCAATAATAACCACTGAGATAGCACAATAATTTCCAACAAGTTTGCAATGGTAAACTCGAAAGTTGGCATCGCAGGTTTGCAGAAAATTGGTGTCAAATAATTAATATGCGTTGGATTTGGGATAATTATTTAATGCGCAGTAGTTTTCTATGGTATCTAGAGCTGCGCACTAAATATTATGCAGTAACATTATTTTTGTTATTATTGCTTGAAATTTTCTTCCTCTGCGGATAAGAGAATTATTATCTGTGCCATATTGTCCCTGCGGCCAGATATTTTGATTCAAGAAACTTGTACCACCAGCACTATAGCTTCCATAATTCCTAGATGTGGAGAACTGCAATTTTGCTGTCATAAATCGTTGTAAATGATGAGATGAACTGAAATAAGTTCCAAGCCATAGTCCCCGCCACAGAACATTTAATTTGATGAATACTGCAAACACCAACAGTATATCTTTCTAAATTCCAATAATGATATTGCAGCAACTTTGCACGAAGTTTGAATTTCATAGTACAGTGCCTACAAGTAATGGAATTCATAGAAAGCAGCTGTTGGTTTCTTCTAAAACATGTAAAGACAGATTGAAGTTCGGTGAGCATATAATTCTTGATTATTAGAGACGTCTTGATTTTAACAGGAAGCAAAGAAATATTTACAGCAATCATATCTGGAACATTGAAGGCACTAATGTAAACGTCAATGCTAATAGTTGTTAATAAAAATAAGAAAACTTTACACTCAAAAAGGACTACATTATTAATAAAACAATAATCAGATAATTTACCTAAGTATTACGTATTGAAAGTTAACAACATTTCAAACTAATGTTTTAATTTTACGTATAATTTACTATAAATTTACTACACTACTGGAATTTACCATAACATCTAGTAATATAGTATCCTGGCTTCTGAATATTTCGGTTGATTTTTGCTGAAAAGACCAACAGCTTTCTCTATTCCAATAATAATCTTGCAGCAACTGTGCCTGAAATTTGTATTTTACTGCTCAGTGCATGCAAGCAATGGAATCTGAAAGAAAAAACTGCTAGTCTCTTTGGAAAAGAAAAACTGCAAATTGAAGTTCAGTGGGTATTCAATTTCCATAATATTATTCAATTTCGTACTTCAACAAGTAGCGATGAATTTTGACCAACTGATCTTTAGATATTTCTCTTTTCGGACAGGTAACGTTGAATTTTTCTCAGCAATTTCATCAGGAACATTAAAGGTGTTGAGGTGAAAGTAAATGCTAAAAATGGTTAAGGTATTCATAAAGTTATGGACTTAAAGCTAATTAATTCATATACAAATCGGCAAAGCTATAATTTACCTAAGTTTCAAGTAATATAACCTAAATGGGTTTGGAACTGAAGTCAGTTGATAATTATAAGATGAACTGTAGATCATTGCGATCCACAGTATCCTAGCTTTTGAATATTTCGATGGAGTTCTGCTGAAGCAACCAACAGTATAGCTTTCTCTATTCCAATAATAATCTTACGACAACTGTGCTTGAAATTTTTATTTTACTGCACAGTTTATGCATGTAATGGAATCGAAAAGAAGCTACTGTTGGTCTTTTTTGGAAAGGAAGACAGCAAATTGAAGTTCAGTAGTTTTTCAATTTTAGGAAGATTATTTAACTGGATTGGATTTTATGACGGTCAGTAATTTTTCTATTTTGACAGGAAGTTGTGTATCACTGACAGCAATTTCATTATGAACATTGTAGGTAATGATGTGAACCTCATATATATAAAAGTGGTAAACATGTCGAATTTATGAAGATATATTGATAATGATGAGTTTACTGTTATCTTGTTAGTTAATTACGATGACGTTGTGTCAAACGCGGAAAATAATAAATAAAATTATTAAATAAAGCTCAAGCTGTAAATGTTTCTGAAATTTTATGAACTCATTTGTAAAAAGAATGCAAAATTTTACCTGTGAATTGAATTATGAAAATCGACCAAAAATGAAGCTTGCAATTTAGGTAATTATTTATGCAGGTAGTGAAAGTTCTTGAATTGTGCTATTTGGATTAATGGAACGATATTATGCTCAGCTTACTTCGTGAATGTTTTTGAGGATGGACATTGTTTCTTTAATTATGTGATAATTTTCATCGGCTCCGGAGTAATGTTACAATACTAATATAATTTTGATGTAATTACGCTAGAATAATATTTCTCTTAAAGTATACGTTTTTTCAAGTATGGGAAAGTAATAAATAATATTATCACCATGTTGCATCAGTATTACTACAAAATAACGTAAAATGACACTAATGATCACGGTGACAATTTTTTTATGTCGAGTTTTATGTTATTTATGTTTTATTCATTAATTAAATACTAAAATTAAGTAATAAACGATTTATTATAAAGAAAATTAATTGTTATGCATGACAAAACGAAAATATCTACTATAGTACTGACAAAATGTTTTTGTATTTATTATATATTCATTATAATTAATTAATTATGTTTTACTGGTAGTTATAATTTGTAAAAATGTGGTGATAATCAAATGTTTCATAACATGAAAGAAAAGAATGATAGTAAATAATTATTTAACATACGTTGAAAGAAACAAATTTTAAAGATTAATATCTTTTTATGAATAAGATAATTTGTACTTGGTTTGGAATAAAAATCTTTTTTTTCAATAGTAGATTATCGTCTCTCTGTGGAAGAATCCGAAGATGATCCCGATGAAGAAGATGACCCTGACGAAGAAGATGACTCCGATGAAGATGACGGTAATGGCAATTCTATAGAATGTAAAAGAAAATCCAAATTTGTAATTTGTGGGAGAGAATAGAAAATGTTAATAAAAAGAAATTATTATCTACTCGTTTATTTAAAACATGGTGAGCTTAGATGAAAAAGCTCTAATTTCGATAAACGAATTTAATTTGTAACATTGTCAAAATTTTTGCGCGATCCTGTTATGTGGAAAATTTTAAGACTAATTTTTTTCTGTTATAAATATGGGGTTTTTCTCTCACATTAGTTCTTGTAATTAATTGAAAAATTTAATTTTTTATAAAATGAAATGCTGGATATCCATTATACCATCCGAATTTAGTTACTTTTAAAGAAAACAAAAAATATTCTTAACCTTGTAAGTTATTCATAATATTATTTATTTTAAACTTCTTTTGTTTTTCAATTGAGTTGCATTGAATGAAAAAAATGAAACTATAGTGTGATCATAATTTTAAAATACAGTTAAGAAGAAAATCATTTTATAAAAATATGTAAGAGTAATTTTCTAGGTAATAACAATTTACCTGGTTACGATGTTTTTGTTCAAAAAGAATAAAATTAATTCAATGTATTAAAACTTCACTCTATAACCATTCACAGAATGGAGTTTTCACACTAGATATCATTTTTTATTTAAACATTTTTCTAATTCTTCTTCTGTAGTCTTAAACGGTTTAAAATTATTTATGTATTTACTTTCAAGTTTGAGTGACTTTAAAATTAAATATACAAACTTTTTTCAAAAGTATAATTTGTATTAAAGAATAAATGGTTAAAATATTTTTTTAAAATTATAATTCTTACAGTATTAAAGAAAAACCAATGATATATTTTTACAAATATTTTAACTATGTATAACAATCAATAAAATATGTGCTTACAATTTACAAATTGTTTTATTTATGTTAATAAATGGAGAGATTTCAAAGACTCATTCTTGTGTATAAAAGATTTGAAATTACACTACTAAAAAAATTTCTTATTAGAATAATAAATTTAAATCTTTAATTATTATAGGTGATCAGAAAGCTCGAATTTTGTCGAGGTTTTCCTTTTTTGAGCTAAGTCGAGCCTTATCAATTGCAGCTCGAGCCGAATTCGAGCTGAGCTGTATAAAAAGCTCGAGTAAATTCGAATACTCGTGAAAATTGAATTTAAATATTCAAATGATTGTAAGCTATTTACTATTTTTCATGAGTTTCTAATTCAAAATATGTAATCATTCATTTATTTGTTGACTGAGTTAGTAATTTTACAAAACAATGTAAAATGAACGTTTAATATGCTCAAATTCACTCGAATACACATTACATCTCGTCGGGCTTGGCTATTCCAGGTTTTTGCACATCTCTATCAATTATATTATTAAAATTTCTTAATTACCGGTTTTTCTTTTCCTACTTCCTCTTGTTGTTCTTCTAACTCTTCCGCTACCTCTTCCTTCCAAAGATGCTTCACCTTTATCTCCTTCTTCCACAGATGTTTCACCAGTTCCTCTTCCTTCCACAGACGCTTCACCTGTACCTCTTCCTTCCACAGTTGCTTCACCTCTACCTCTATCTCTGCCTCTGCCTCTACCTTCTTCAATGTTAGTTGTGAGGATATTGTTTGTCGGGGTTGGCATAGGTAATAATTCATCTTCCGATTCATCTATTTTTTGGAAATCATGTAAATTTTTTTTAATTAGCAATATTTTATTCTATAATTTAACATTATTAAATTTTTAACTTATCACAGATAACTTCTCTTTATTTCTTTCAAACTTATATGTACAGTTTTAATAAAATCCGACTGCATTCATAAAAGAAAATGTGCTTTATCTGAATCAATTGTAAATAACCGTATGCAATATTTTTGTTAACATAGTAGAATGATAAATTAAAAATCAATAACAAATTAAGAGATATGAGGGTCAGAAAGTTTAAAATAGCTCAAACTGCAATTAACTGTACTCAAACTTTTAAGTATGCAAAAATATAATCTATCGTGCTCTAATAAATTTAACAATAATACAGATTATATTAAGGGTATGTGGGTAAAACACCTCCAAAAAAGTGGTTTCCCGCTTGTTGTCTCACTCCTTAATAAGTTGAGTTTTCGAGTTCAGATTTGTCAGGATAATTAAATGGGAGCAAACTGATTAAGAAGCTATATATACCTATATATTTTTCAAAAAATCCCGACCCAAAATATTGTTTTCTTTTTAAATGAGAAGTCTACCACGAAACCGCTGTTTCTCCCAGCTGCCCTTAAAGTATTATGAAAAAAGAATTTACCAACGTCCATCATGTTTCCAATGTCATTAATTCTTAATGTTTCTGTATTTATGTCTTTAATCACATGGAAATTTTTGACTGATTGTCCACTAGTGAATTTTTCCATCATTTCCGCTTCTTTCCTTAGCATAGAAGTCAACCTATCTATATAAATTAAATAAAACACTAATTCAATTCTAAAATATGAAAAGTTGAAATAATTTGTAGATTATTCATGAACTTGATGTACAAGTATTTCAAAATTTTATTGAATTTTAACGTTGCTACAAAAATTTGATTTGACTTTCCCTTGATTTCCAGACTGAATGTTAACTTTTTCTTGTATCCTAAAGAATATTCTAATTATGATTAAATATGCACTACTAGAAATATATTCAAAATTAAAGAAAAAACATTTCCGGTCAGAATTGCAATTTCTTACAAAGAATTGGAAAAATTTCCTAATAAAATGGATTTTTAAAGAAAAATATAAAGTAAATAACAAATTCTATTGAAAATATTTCCAAATTTTTAAAAAATCGTCATTTTAGAACAAAATTAGAAATTTATGTCGTAAATTTGGAAATTCGATTAATATTATTTTTCCATGGGAATTAAGATTTTCAAAAATTTTTCATTTTAAAACCTTTTCAAACTGAATAATTTATAAAAATTGCTTCTATAACTTCTCTAAAATTATTTTTATGATTTCTAAAATTTTTAACTAAAATTGTTCTTCTAATTAATTAAACTGATAATTATTGAGTACACATTTTTTGAGAATTTAATTATTAAAAGAAGAAAAGAAAGCTCATTTAAAATAATTCTAAAATCCACTTGTTCACAATTTAATTTAATTAAAAATATATTAAAAAATTCAATTAATTCAAAAAATATTTCTTTTAAATGTCTTTTTCATAATTTTTAAAAAACTTCTATAAAATTTTCAATTAAAATTATTTATAATTCAAGAATTTTTGCCAGAAATTAAGTAAATTTATGATTTTGGATTAAGATTAAGACAAAAGTAAAAGTATCCTATTGTATACACCTATACATATATCTATATTTATATATCTATTGGAATTACCGAGTAAGATCCATAGTGTGGTCAATTTTTTTTCCAAATATTTGCTTTTGCATCCGCAAAAGACAAACTTAAAAAATATTGCTTCGTCGATATGGAGAAGTTTCATCAACGCATACAATTTCGCCGAATTTTTTGAATTCCTTTTTAATAAATGTACCTAATTCTAAGCACTCTTTGGCTTTCAGGCGTTTTGCCTCTCTGTTGAGAGAATTTATGCGATCTTTGACACTGCTGCTGCCAGAAAACTACAGGGAATTACGTAATCTGATGATCGCGATTGTAACATTATAATCTGCAAAAAAGATTAGTTAAGTGAAATTTAATATAATTAAGTAATCTTCGTAATTTCATGCCCTTTTGGTTCTAGTAGTGTTATTTTAACACCAAGTGTATCACGCGTTAAAATAACACCATGTTTTTGCACTTTATTATAAAAAGAATCGTTAGTAACTTGTGTGATGATTTGCTGCTTTTGGAACTCGCTATCGGTGAAGCTTCGCCTCGCGTACAGTTCGTTCCAAAAAGAGCTTATTCAAAAAACGCCAACTGCTCACACTCGTTACACATATACTATCATTTATTTATTTGTTGAAAATCATGAAGTGAAGTCTTATAATTCACTCATATTTTCTTCTAATTCATATTTTCTTCGCTGACACTATGGCATCTACATTGTAAGGTCCCAGTATTGTGGTAAATGGCTCATCTGAAACGTCCAGTTGTTGGTTTCTTTTTGTAATTCCATCCATTACTTGGAGCATAAGCTCATCTTCATTTTCTGTATTCATTAAACTAATATTCTTAACTTTCAGAAAAACTTTTTCGAATATTTCTTCATTGATTTTTTCACTAATAACGCATAAAGCAACAGCTCCCTGAAATTTCAATAAAAATAATATTGTGGGCATTTGTAGTAATAAATTTACTTAAACAACAAAGAAATAAATATTTCTTAAGTGTTATAATGAAATATTTTGTTTTTTAAATTAAAATTTTTCAATATTAAATAAATACAAATTATTGGCTAAATTAAATATTTGACTATCTATTAAAAATATAACATTTTCAATATCATTAAATATTTAAATCGAACTTACTCTTTTTGCCTGTTCTACCATAAGCGTTATAATGTTCACCTCCAATTTGCTTAGTGTAATCTGTATCTAAAAAATTTATTACACCAATTTATACATCAAATAAAAATTCTAAAAATAAAATTAAATTTACATTTGGTAAATTAATTGCACAATAAAATTCATAGGGCAAACCAAAGAGCAGTTGCACAATTAACAATTTTAAGCCGTTAGTGCTGCAGTTTCTAAAGAAAATTATTAAGTGGTTGACTTATATAATCTCCATTATTAAAATATTAACATCGAAATTGTGAATTTATGAATTACAAATAGGAAATTATGAATTATAATATTTAAAGAGAAGGAAATTGAATAATTTTATTTAAATGCACTCAAATTTATAATAAAAGAATCGTAATTTTATTTTTAGAAAAGTAAAATTTTCAAGTTTAAATTTAATGTAGATGTAAACCATCAATTTATGTGACAAATAAATAAAAGTTTTAAAGTTAAATTTAAGTAAGTTTAAGTTTACCTTTTTAAAAAAATTTTAGGTTATTTTTAAGGAAAAAATGTTTATATTGATAATTTTATAAATCCAAGAGCAATTATTAGACCAAAAATTTAGATTTAAAATATAAATAGCTGTCGAAATTTACGTATCAATTATACCTTTAATCCAACATCAAGATATAACACCTTATTCTTTTTAAGAAGTGAGGGAGTCCCGAATACAAGGGCGACATCCCCACTGCTCGTCTGTATTCGTTTCAAATATGCTTCAATAATCTTACTATCCACCTCACTTTCATTTGGAGTTTCGTCCTGATTTCTTAATAATTTGTTTAATTGTTCGCTCAGACATTTCAAATTTTTTGAAACAGGTAAATTTCCGCACCTGGCCTTATGCATCGACCCATATAAAGAATCATAGCTGATATTGGTCTGATACCTATTAAAATGAGAACTATAATAATAGAAAAAAGCAAATTTTAGTTAAAAATTAATAAAAATCTTTTCAAGTTAAGAAATTTATTGTAATGTCTGGAGAAAATAAAAGTGACTCGTTTTTTATTCAGCTGAATTTCTGTAGATATAGAGTAATTTCTAACTTTAAGAATTATTTGAAACAGTCAACAATAAGAGGACAAGGACTTGATAAAATGGTGTAAGTTTAAAAGTATGTTGATAATTTTTTCAAATTATTTATTTTAGTAAAATGTTAAGTATTGTCTATTATTGTTCATCAATAAAATTTTCAATTAAAATTTAAAAACCGTAAAATAATTACATATTTTAACTAAAGCGACCGAGTGATAAATTTAATTATTTAATTACATATAAAATTTAAAATTATTTTATCTACCTGTGTATATTTTTGAAGATAGTCAATCTCTTTACATGGGAGAAAAGTATACAATGACGAAATAATATTTTCTTGTTAAAATTTTTTGTTCATCATAGAAACCCTGAATATTAATTAAATTTTTCTATAAGGTATTCAAATTTCTAATTACATTTTTTATTTAATCATATAAAATTTTACATTTAGACTTAAAAATTATTATTAATTTAAATCTGTTAAAGCTAAATAATTAAGAAGTCCCACATAGCACGACTTCTTGCTGGGAGGTTACTGTAACGATATCTGTAGGGTTTGTAAGGTTACCGTGTAAGCCTGCAGTAAACTTGAGGTCATCTTAAAACTTCCGCCTTACAGTAAGCTTACACTGTAAAGTTAAGGTAAGCTTACACAGTGATACACGTCACTGTTAGTGGTGACGGGAAAGTATAGCGTCGGCAATCCTAGACTTTTATAAAAGTTTAGCATTGCTTACGTTTTATGCTTTCCTGTCCTTGGCCGAGACATTGACAACGCGTTGGCTGTGTATTTTTCCTCCATTATCCTTTTCTCGCTCCTCCCTTTCACTTTCAGTTTTCCTCGCTTTTCCATTCGCTGGCTACTCTCACTCCGAGCGGCCCATTTCTTTCACTCTCGCACCTCCCACTCTTCTCTACTCTCACTACTTCTCTCCAACGCGACAAGGCCCGATGCCACTACTCTCAATTTCTGGGACCCGCATCAAAAACTGATGCATTTTTGTATTAAAAAACAGTTAAATAAATAGTTTCGAGGTTCCATCTTGTCTTATATAGGTTTAATACATATATACGTGCATGAAGTATATGTATATATGTACATTAGGAATTATTTTCTTTAATAGTTTATTCCTTTAAATGGAAATTATCAATATGCATAAATAATAATTATTATTTACATATATGTATATAGTATAATATTATTATATAATATAATACTAATACTAAATATAAGTATTGTGACGCGGCATTTTATGCTCGTCACAATATTCCTTAATTTTTTATGGATAAATAGTAAATAAATATTCCAGGGTGGGAATCACCATCATTTCTAAAAACAAATAAAAATCAGTATGTTTGTCAAAAGTAATAAAATAACAAGAGAATTGTAAAAATATTAAATGTTAAATTAAGCAATAGTTGAATAAAATTAAATATACCTGCTGACTCGCCAGATCGATTCAAGGAAACAGTAAATTGTTGTCCACATTATCATTTTATTATTTTTCTATTTCATGAAAAAATGGACATTAATCGGAGTAATTCTCCGATTCAACAAAATGAGTCAGCTTTTCAATATTATTAATGATGTTCGATGTACCACAAGGGAAGTGCTTCCTGGTGTATATATTTGGAAGAGATTCCCGAATAAGAAGAGCACCAGGAAGACGAAAATTCATTTGTATACTCAGCTGTCACAACAATGGGAGCGGCCATTTTGGATAGAGAGCGCTACGATGCGCTGTGGCACGGTAGCGTTCTACTTTACCCTCCGGATTCATGAAAAATATCGACTCGTGATAAATTGATTATCGATAAAGAAAAAGTTGTAATTAATTACTTTCACCGGGACTCACCTCTAAAAAGAAAGCGCACAAAGAGACGCCGACTAGCGTGACAGGTCAGCCATTTTTAGTCATTCTCATTCTCGAAGTGTAGTAAGCGACAAGCCGCTTTTCTTTTTGATAAAAATAATAGTGTAGAAATTATTAAAAAAAGAAATAATGTCAGGACGAGGTTCGCTGAGGGGTCGGCGTCGTATAGACGGTGAGTCCCGAGTATAATAAATAATTTGTCAGCCAGATCGGCATTATTGTCAAATCAATAATAAAAATTATAATTTTCATTCGTCAACAAAAGTGGATGTCGGTTATTATTCGGCCTTCTGCCGAATACTTGAATTAATAAAGTCATTAATTAAAGCAATTATAATGAAACAAATTAAGTGAAGTGTTTTACTTGTGTCTTTATCCTTTCCCCCCCACTCTCCGCGGGTCATTGGTACAAAACAATGACGTGCTGAGCCAGCAGGCGGATATTATATTATATTCAAATAAATATAGAATGGTTTAGTTATTTTCCATAAAAATAACTTGGCGTCTTAAAAATAATAAATAATTAAAAATAAAGTAACGTGAGAAGATATAATTTAAAATTAATAGTTTTTGGTAAAATTAAAGTAAAAATAATATAAAAATAATCAATCAAGTAAAAATCACGTTATAGTATATAGGATTATTAATGCAATATTGTTCGTTTATAATTTCTGTTTAGCTCTTATATTTTTCTAAAATCTTAATCGACTTTTATATTTTTCAGTTTCAAAAACACGCATAGTATCCTCCATTTTCCTTTTACCCTCCTACTTTTTCCTCATAGTCAAAACTTCTAAGGCCCATCACTAACCTCCTAGCGCATCCTATTCTCCGGCTACTTTGGCGTGATATTTTTCACTAAAATTAGTTAATTAAATTAGAATAAAATTATGTATGCATGCGATTTTTCATTAGAGTATTACTAGCAGTATGAACGTTTATTTCTAAGTTCTAAAATAAATTTTAGTTTATAATTTTAACGCTACGAGTGATTTTTAGTCAAAATGTATGTTAAAATTAGTTCTCTCACAGTCAAGATGACGTGATAAGTATATATAAGCTGAGTTGCGAAATCACTCGTCAGTCGATCGATACCTTGCACTTTGTATCATTTCGCTCCTCTATCGAATAAAGTCTTTTTTACTATATTCACCAGAGTATTCTTTCAAACCTGCCTCTACCCGGGACAACGTGTTCGCCACGCATCCTCAACCAGAGCAGTACTCCACTTACCACGGTAAGTTTTTGAATCTTTGAACTTCCCTCACCGAACGATACGGGGAGCCACTCTTATCGAGTCGTTTCAGTGTGTGTAGTGACCACCAGGTGCCGCCTCACTGGCGTAAACGTACGGGGAGTCTCTCTTTACGAGCGTTTACGTTACGTGTAGAGCCGCAAAGAGCCTCTGGCCCGCTAATCCGATACGGGGAGTCACTCTTTACGAGTCGGATTAGGGTACGGACACAGGGACCACCTAGTGACGTCACCTCATTTCCCGCCTAACGATACGGGAAGCCACTCTTATCGAGTCGTTAGGCCTCTAGAGCCATCCTTCATTCTAATCCGTAA